TTATTTATAACTAAACAATTAAATGAAATAATTTATTTTAAATTGTTTATTTTTTATAATATTAAAATAATAAAATAAATAAATTTGAAAAAAAAAAGCCCAAAACAGGCCCAGACGGTCCGAGCAAAAATGCTCGCCCGGACCGTCTCTCCCACTAGTTGCCGGCGGCTGAGATCGCCATTTCCGACGATCTCCGCGTCCCAATCACTCCAAAAATATCATTTTATTCAATAATTCATATATCCACAACAAATTCTATAAAGATAATCAACAAGTCCTATATATAATCTTTATACACTTAAAAATACAATCATCATTTGTGAAAAAATCATATTATTGTTCCCAACACTCACCTTCTTCAACTTAAAATGATGATTTCTCGACGTCCGGGTCGTCGGTGAAGAAATGGGGTTTTTTCTTCGTTCTCTCCTCTCCCTCACTCTTCAAATGACAAGGGTAATTTAGGGAAATAATCGTTTTTCCTTGTTTTTTATTTTTTCCTTTTTTTTTTTTCGTGGTCAACGGCTATTTTGCAAAATTGAACAGGTCATCCGGGTATTTGACACTATTTCCTCCAATATAGTGGATCTCCTACATCATCTCAAATCATGGATGAGTTGCTTAATCGCAATGGGAGGAATAACAACATTGACGTTCCACGATACTCAACTACAGTCACATATAAAAACTTTTTAGTTTCTATACTTACATGTAGAATTAAAAGTCATAATTTATCCAAGAATTCAGGGAAATTTTTATTCGAAAAAAGCTATCAACATCTCTGTCATGTCCTCAGAAACAAGTCTACCAAGTACCAAATACCAAAAACAGAGAAAAACAGCAATATGCAGATAGTGATAACTGTGGTATGTTTTACAGGGTTTAGTTAAGTACTATTCATGATAAGAAACATGCATCACACCAAAACTGAGCAAAAATCCTACAAGTTTCAATTTGCCAAAATGGTTCAGCATTCAAACACCAACAAGAAATCTTTGGTAGAGTTTTCAATACTGCATACAAACCTAGCAGGCTAAAAGAATCTGGAATACATATGAGAAGATGCCTACAATAGGCCTTTCCATCACGAAAAATGGAAGAAATGCTTTATGAATGAGCAGAAACCGGAACTTTCTTCTACTGTGCTGGTTTCAGTATAACCATCACCAGGCTAACTTCTTTTGCAAACAAATATCCAGACCTGTGGAAAAGAAATGCGAACAATATTTAACAGTTCAAAATCTCTCAGTTTGCATCCACCATTTGAGTATAATAAATGCTTAATTCTCGTGCATAATCAGGAGAATGAATCAATACAATTCGAATTAAGCTAAATGAACCATTGTGTCATCCCCTATGTCAAATATTATGTTTGTGTAGCAAAACTCATACAATGGTTCTTGAATGTTATACTACTATTGATTAAAAAATTGTGAGAAAAATTTACTATGATCAAACCAAATCTTTCAAATAATTCTGCAATGTCTTAACATTCTACATTTCAATTCTGTAACTACCAATAACTTCCATTTATAGTCGTTTTCCTCCGGAATTATGAGAAGCAATATGCATGCTGAAGTAGAAATCATTGTCTGAAAATTCTTAAACAACCTTCCCCAACCTAACAGACAACAAGCTTGAAAAGAACATATCAAAGGCTAAAATCAGCTTTTAAACACAACCAAACATGCTGTAAAGGTAACTAACTATAATCAATCAAACCGTCTTATAATCCAAAAGTCGTTTTTTCTAAGATTGAATAAAGAGACACTGCAAAATATAATTCTATGAAACAAAGAACTCAAATTAATTCATACCTAAGAAAAAAAAGATTGCTATTAAATTAAGCCCAAGAATTATCAAAGGCAGCAGAGGTAATAGCTTGCGAAAACTCCGAAAAACTAATCCTCCCATCTCCATCTGTATCAGCCTCTCTGATCATCCCAGTGAGTTCTTCTGCGGTCAAGGCATGGCCGAGTTTAGCCATGGAGTGAGCCAACTCGGCCGCCGTGATATACCCGTTTCCATCCCTGTCAAACATCCTAAACAACTGCTTCAATTGCTCCTCCGTGTACGGCGATTTTGCCGGCAAAAGCTCCGGCGCCACCAATGACACAAACTCGGAGAATTCCACTAACCCATTATTGTTCTTATCCGCTTTATGAATAAGCGAATCGAGTTGATCCGAACTGGGTTTGAGTCCTAAGGATCGCAACAGTGATCCCAGCTCGAGTTGCGTTAGGCTGCCGTCGTTGTTCCTATCGAATGATCGGAAAATCTCCCGGAGCTCTGATAACTGTTCATCGTCCAGTTTCACTGGTTCTTTACTACCCATCTCTCACAAAAATTACACCCCAATCTTTGTTTCAAAATAGCTCTATATCAAAAAAAAAAAAAATGAATTTTGATTCAAATCAAATGGGATTTTGATAAAAAAAAATTGAAAAATTCTTTAAACCTCTCTCTCTTGAAATTTTATGTTGCAGTTGATCCAAGAGAGTGTTTTTATGTTCCCTGTGATCGTAACGTTACCATTCGTCTTCTTCTATTGTATTTTAGACTCTCTCTCTCTCTCTCTCTCTCTCTCTCGATCCACCACTTTCGATGGATCGTCCGAATTACTAGTAAAACTTTGGAAGAACAAATCAATAAAAGGAATTAATAATTCATTTTCGTCATAATTATTAATTAATGGGAGGAGGTTGAGGAGTCAACCATGAGAATACGTGACCCAGTATGGACGGATGGATGTATTTGGTACGGACTATTAGTCCACTTGAGATTGTTATCCTCAATTGAATTTATTATCTCTTTCCTCAGCCCCGTTTGACACTAATTTTGATGAAAAAATAAATTTTAGAATGGTGATTGATAGAAGAATGTGTGGTTAAAAAGTAATAAGAATTTTTGGATTTAAGTATAGTATTATTTTATTGATAGAATGTATGATTGAAATAAAAAAGAGCAAACAAAAAAAAAAAATTATAATGAGAAAAAAATGTATTTAAAATGGGGGCTCAATCTTTTCTTGAAATTTTGATTTTGTTTTTCTTGACAAATGAAAAGATTTTTTTAGCAAATGAGAAGATCCTACACATTTTCCCATTTTTAATCTCTCTCCACGTCAATCAACCATTATACTTTTAATATTTACTAAGGATCCGTTTAACATGATTTCTATTTTTATTTTTGCTGGAAGAGACGCCTAGAAAAATTGTCTCGAATCAACTTCCCATACAAGTTATTCTAATAAAAGAAGTAATTTCAAAACATTACCCAAAATATCCTAATACTGATCACTACAAATTTTTTTTATGATCTAATATGATATATCAAATACACACATAATTACTAATTCAATCCAATTAAATCTCATGCGAAACATCTAAGGGCATCACAGACCTGTTATTGCCTCAAACTTCCACGGCCTAAAAGGTCGTAGTCCCTCTAAGAAGCTGGCCGCAAAGGGGTACCTCGCATAACTAGTTAGAAGGCTGAGATCTCGTTCGTTAACGGAATTAACCTGACAAATCGCTCTACCAACTAAGAATGGAGGGGTACCTCCGAATAGCTAGTTAGCAGGCTGAGGTCTCGTTCGTTAACGTAATTAACCAGACAAATCGCTCTACCAACTAAGAACGGCCATGCACTACCACCCATAGAATCAAGAAAGAGTTCTCAGTCGCCCCTAGGACACATCTTCAAGTAGTAAAAGGGGAAAGTGGAAAAACTCCAGTTTTGCTTGAGGTTGCCGCGTCAAGGGTTTGAATTTTGAAATATGGATTGGCCATTGGGTAAGTGTAAGTGTACAATAGCCTTCCACCCTATATCCTTGGAGGCTTAACTTGCGATTTACCTCCTTCACCAAAGCACAAGGTAAGGCAGGTGGGGGCCTTCAAAGATGCGGCTCATCCTTTTTTTGACAAATCGCTCTACCAACTAAGAATGGTCATGCACTACCACCCATAGAATCAAAAAAGAGTTCTCAGTCGCCCATAGGACACATCTTCAAGTAGTAAAAGGGGAAAGTGGAAAAACTCCAGTTTTGCTTGAGGTTGCCGCGTCAAGGGTTTGAATCTTGAAATATGGATTGACCATTGGGTAAGTACAAGTGTACAGCAGCCTTTCACCCTATATCCTTGGAGATTTAACTTGCAATTTACCTCCTGCACCAAATCCCAGGGTAAGGCAGGTGGGGGCAGTCAAGGATGCGGCTCATCCTTTTTTTTTTTTTAAGAGCTCTCAGTCACCGATCAAAAAAAAGAGAGCTCTCAGTCGTCAATCCTTACTATGTCTGGACATGGTAAGTGTCTCCGTGTTGAGTCAAATTAAGTCGCAGGCTCCATTCCCGGTGGTGTTCTTCCGTCAATTCCTTTAAGTTTCAGATAATCAAGAATGTTTTACTCATTCCCTCCATAAACATAGGCTTACTTTGTTTTTTCGTTTGTCCCAAATTATATGATTATAACTAATTTTTTATTTTCCTAATAATGCTCATATTTAATGTGTCTTGTTATCAATAAATATGAATTATTCATATTTAAACTATTATTTAATGTAGGGGCATATTAGAAAAATGTAAGAAAAAATCATATTTTTAACAATATTAATTATATTTTCTCAATTCATGTGAAAATAAAAATAAATATCTTTATGAGAAGTATTTTATTTTATTTAATTCTGTCCGCGTTACGCATTAAATTTTGGCTTTTTTTTTTTGGGTCCTACCATACACTATTTAACTTCCACCAACTTTTTGTGCCTTTTTTGAACAAAATAGTAAAAATGACAAATGGTGCGGCGCCAATCGCGTCTTTATTGCCGACGTTGACCCTTCCTTGTGACTTTGTCAAAATACATTTATTTTTTTATTTTTCATTTTATAAATTTGCAATCTCTACAAATTACAAACTGGTTCCCCACACTACATTTCTCCCTCGATCGTAGACAAAAATATTATTTAACAAATCAATTTAACATAAATAATAGATATTAATTATTTTCTTTTTAAAATGATTATAATCATTTTGAGCCCCATTTTAATAGAAGAATACACTTTGAGATAGTAAATTGATGGAAAATGTGTGATTGAAAAATAAGGAAATATTTTAAATTTACGTATAATATTATTTTATTAAAGAACTTGTGGTTGAAAAGTAGAGAGAAAAAATATATTTTGAAAATAATGAGAATCAAACAATGGCTATATGAATATTACACACAATCCAAAAAAATTTCTTTTATTTTTAACCACACATTTTTTATCAATCTGCTATTCTAAAATGTATTCTACACAAAAAGGGGCTCAAACAGGCCCTTAACAAAATTTGATTAAATATATAGTTGGAAAGTTGTGGGTCCCATGAACATGTGGTTAAAATTAATTGTTTATTTTAACATAATTAAAATCTAAATTTTATTTCCTACTAAATAGGGGCATAGTCTTAAAAATAATCATTAATATTATATTATTTTTATTAAAATAAAATAAATTTTATTTTGCTATCACAATAATAAAAATTATACGAAGTGACATCATTATTATAATTTTCAATTTAATAATTGTATACATAACAAAACCCTTTTGTAAAATTCTAATTTTGAAATATACAATAAATTTGAAACAAGAATTTATGAAATAGTTAACCAATTCGTCTCAGTTTATAATAAAAATATTTTTTTAAAAAATCACAACAATACCAATCAAGACGGGGTAAGCCACCTACTCTTTCACAGAAAATTTATTTTGATACACAATAATATAGACGCGTGCTATTTATTATTATTGGGAGGGAGTTGGGAGCACGAAGATAGCAAATGCAGATAGGATCAACTCCCTTTTTTTATTCTTATTTTTTATAAAAAAAAGGTTGGCTACACGGTTAAGTTGTTATATGTATTATTAAATTTCAATATAATTAATTTAACAAATATAACTTTCTTAGCATAGTGTAACATTATAACTTGCAAATTACGTAACGAGTCATTAAGACATGTTTGATACTAGACAATCAGTATATAATTTTGATTTCTCTAATCATGCGTATTGTTGTCTAAATTACTCCGTATGTGAATCACTATGGTGAAATTATTACTACTTTTGTTAAGTCGATCTCAGAATCGATCACACATTTCTTAGTTGAATGCGTGTACTTGAGAAAAGGTCAAATTTATCAAAATGAATGAATTATCTATATCTATCGTGGAATCAAATTCTTGAGATGGAAGTAACTCTTCTATACAAAATTTCGGATTTATTATTTTCTAATCCTTTTTAGTTTGTTGTTGTTAGGTTTTAAGTTGTATTCTCAATTTTTTAGACAAAAGGATTATTATGAAAAAAATGATTATTATAAAAGAGTTGTAAAAATCAAGGAGTCTTTTGTGACGTTATATAGATAAATTATGAGTTTTTGGATTCGAGTATGGAAGATGAAGAAAGAGTCGCTTTATGCTAGCATGTCGCCAATCTGATAATCGAGCGTCCAAAATAGAATCATTGTCGCCTACATGTCGCTCGCCTGTCACTTGAGCGACACATCTATCACTCGCCTATCGTTCGAGCTACGGTGTTTTTTGAGAAACTATAGTTCGCAATTGTCAAAAATTTTATCTTTCCTATACTATTTAGTACCTCCATATTATAAATACCCAAATCCTACTTCGTGAAAATGATAGTTGATCATTATTTTCTACCTTCATATTATTATTTGGGGATCAACCAACAATTCCACATCTTGTGATCAATCAACTAGAAGTTGAGAAAAATATAGTCATATAAATCAAAACACTTACTTCATAAATATAATCAGGCAGATACTTTTTCAATAGCTTTCAAAGGTTACTAAAAATTGAGAGAGGTTGGACTAGAAAGACAGGAAGAGTATAAGAACAAGATATTCTGGGTAATCCACAAGAGAGAGATAATTCTGAAAGATTGGGAATATGTGTAAGTGAAGTACGTTCCAGTGAGTTTTGGAGATTGCATGAATTAGATCAGTGAGTTTAGTAGATTTTCTAGGGTGGATCATGCCGTAAGTTCTTATTGTTTATAGTGGAAGTTATTGGCTTGGTCCAAAGTTTTTAATCCTATAAAGGATTTTCTTTGTTAACAAATCTTATATTATTTATTACTTTATTTACTATTGTGACAATTTAACATATGATTAGAATTGACTTGATTGACTAAATATTTAGAACAATTAAAATGTGACTTATTATTTATAATTGATAATTTTTAATTTCATGTTATTCACCTATTCACTCCATTTAAGTGATTTTAGGAACAAACTCGTAACTTTCAATTTGTATAAGAGCCCTAATTAAATTCCTGAC